TTTGTTTGTTTGTTTGATGTATGCCTGTATATACGTGATCCTTTAATAAATTAGTTATTAACGGATAACATCGTCAAATGTTTGTCTATATTTATATATGCCTCTTCGCTTAATATTTGAATAATAATATTAATAATAAAAAATAAAAATAATAATAATTATTATTATTATTAATAAATATTTTTCCTCCTTCACGGGCAAACATGGTTTCTGCATTGTTGAGCCTTTATCTTATTATTATTATTATTATTTATTATTATTTCATATTTGTTATTGTTACAAATAATAATAATATTATTAGTATTATTATCATTATTATGTTTCCGTGTTTATATAAAATGAATTTGTTTTAAAAAAAGTGATTTATCGTTCCATCAATTTATCGTCTATATTACTATTGTATATTTTCATTTTGTTAAAGTAATTTTGCATTCATTATATATATATATATTAATAGTGGGTATATATATATATATATATACATATATATATATATATATATTTAAGTAAATATACATATATAAACTTGTATATCCTAGCTATTTTTGTTATTAATCATTTTGCAAATAGTGTTTATATGTTTGTTTGTTTGTATGTTTGTTTGCATGTTTGTTTGTATGTTTGTTTGTTTGTTTGTTTGTATGTATACAATATTCCTACGTTAATTGCAAATAGTTTTGTTTCATTTTATTTTTCTGATACTTTCTGATTTTTTGAACTTTTTGATTTGTTTGATAGCGGGTAAAAACGCCATAATATTATTAACTCCAATATTTACGTAAAATAATAATTATAATTAATTATTGCTATGATTTTATTAGTAATAAATGTTATCATTATTATTATACTATTATATCTATCAATCAATCAATCAATTAGTTAATCAATCAATTACCTTGTAAAGCGCTATTTCCGCGATGTTCAACGGCGCTCCTCATGAATTTTGAAAACAGATGGGTCTTGAGATCCGATCTGAACTTTGTAAGTGATGGAGAAGTAGTCAGAAAAGAAGGTAGAAAGTTCCAAAGAAAAGGGCCAGAAAAAGCAAATGAAGATTTAGCAAAAGAGTGTTTAACACGAGTTAAAAAGAAGTGAGAACAAGAAGACGATCTTAAACTGAGGCGTTTAGGTTCAATTAATATATCTGATAAGTACTTAGGAAATAATTTAGATTGAGACTTATACATAAATGTGCAAGTTTTAAAAATTATTCTATATTTTATGTAGTAGCCAGTGCAAGAGAACAAGATATGGAGATATATGAGAAAAGAAAGAGGCACGAGCAACTAGACGAGCTGCATAGTTAGAAGCCTTACTTAAAGGATAGAGTGTAGAATCAGGAAGACCATAGTAGAGCGAGTTACAAACCAATCCTAGATAAGACTAACGAAGTAACAAGAAGGAGAAGGGTAGGATCGTCAAGAAAAGGCAAAAGATTTTTCATTCTACGTTGCTGACAGCAAGAACTTCTAGCGACACTATTATTCTGAGAAGAAAGAGACATGCTAGAATCAAAGATAAAGCCTAGACTACGAAACTTGTGAGATACATCAAGAGTTTAAGAATGAGGTGAGGTAATTTGGAGGAAGAACGCTAATAATAACGACTGCGACAGTAATCATTTTTATCACTTCGAATTATTTTAAATGAATTTAAAACACTACAGAGAATTAACATAAAAACAACAGTCCAACCAAATAAGGACTGGGGGTCGTAAATAAATTAATAAATTATGTTAAATGCCGTATGTTTTATTGATGGGTGGTCCGATCGTAAACCACATTTAATCACTACCGTTCATTTTTTTATTGCTATTCTTTTTACGACGACGATGATGATGATGACGATGATGATGAAGAAGAAGATGATGATGATGATGAAGAAGATGATGATGATGATGATGATGATGATGATGATGAAGAAGAAGAAGATGATGATGATGATGACGATGATGATGAAGAAGAAGATGATGATGATGATGAAGAAGAAGATGATGATGATGATGAAGAAGAAGATGATGATGATGATGATGATGAAGATGATGATGATGACGATGATGAAGAAGAAGAAGATGATGATGATGATGACGATGATGATGATGAAGAAGAAGATGATGATGATGATGACGACGACGGTCAAAAAAGTGTGAACAAACAAAAAATCAACTGACAGACAAATAAATGATTGAGGAACAAACGAAGGAACAAACGAACAAATGAATAAATGAAAGAACAAACAAACAAACAAATGAAAGAACAAATTGACAAGCAAACGAACGAAGAACAGATGAACGAACGACAAACGACTGGTCAGCCAGCTAGCACGAACAAACACGACACAAAGACTCGGCATGTCTTTTAACCTTTAAATCTCCTGTCTTGCATTCAATTGTTTGTCCGCTAATTATATACACCTACAGACACACATCCGTACCCTTATTCTAACTAACACACACATGTACGCACATCTGTAAGCACACATGTACGAACACACATGTACGAACATGGGCACAAATAATAAAAAGAAGAATAAAGATAATGTTATTAATGGCGTGATGTTTATTTTATGTTATATTAATGATTATTATGGATGGCTTGTATGGCACTCCAAGTTTAAGCAACGCCTGTGAAATGAACCTCTAACCGAGCCATGCTAGGGTTCAGTTTTGTACCATTCCTTCCCAGAAATGTCATTTGAAAGACAATAGCTGGCTGACCAGTCGTTTGTCGTTCGTTCATCTGTTCTTCGTTCGTTTGAAGACCTATGGAGGGATGAAAAACGCGGTTTTAAGCAAGTATGCTGTGATGTAGGTGCTGGCTGTGTACGTAGATAGGTGTTTGTGTGTGTACGGCAGAATCAGGCGGTAAGAAGCAGTGAGTTACGATGTGTGGCAATGCATGTCCTTAATAATCATTCCAAGACAACTAATCGTTTCGTTAGATTTGTCATTGAAATGAGGTTGTTGTTGTTGTTTTTGATGTCGCTCATGTTGTTGTTACTACTTCACGCATAACAACCACGACAATACAGAACAACTCAACATTTATCGTAATATCAAACGAATAACAATATCAAATAAAACTTCAGTTCTGTTAACACCTAATGTAAAGATATATAACAAATAATAATAACAATAAATAATGATAGCAATAATGATAATAAGAAGAAGACAAACAAGTAAGTTATAATTACATTAAAGAGTGCGAACGAAAGCGTTTCATCTGTGAACACAAAGTTATTCAATGTTTGTTTGTCTGTTTGTATGTGTGTGTTTCTGTGTGTGTGTGTGTGTGTGTGTATACATATGTATGTATGCGTGTGTATGTACGTGTTTTTGTACGCCTTAGACAAAGTTTTGCTATAATTACGCCTACGTATGTTCGAAAAATAGTCGCGCACACACATGCACACACACACGTGCACACACACACACACACGTGCGCACACACACGTTCTAACAAATCAATCAATTGTACAATTGATTTGGGTTCTAACTTTCAGAAGTTAAGCCAATTAGAGTTGTCCTTTATTTCGTTGTTAACGGCTGGCGTTATTGAAAAGCTGTTTATAACTATTGATTTTATTATTATTATTATTGTTATTATTATTATTATTGCTGTTATTATTGTTACTGTTATAATTATTGTGATTACTGCCACTTCGTTGATTGCATGCTTTAATCCCAATAAATTCTAATTCTCACGGAGTATAACGTTCCCATTATTACTATTATTATTATTTTTGTTGTTATGATTATTATGATTATTATTAGTAGTAGCAGAATTAAAAGTAATAAAAATAATAACATTATTATTAATAAACAACTGTATGTATTGAATAATATTTACTGTAATAAAAACCATATAAGCCGCCATAGTCAATACTGCTACTACTGCTTTTACTACTGCTGCTACTACTACTGCTGCTGCTACTACTACATATAATAATATTTCATAATAATTAATGATATTAATAATTATAACAAGTGGTAATATTACTTACTATACGGTATTAATCTTATGGAAACAGATGATGACGATCTACTTGTTTGATGAGCTTGCTTTCATTACAAAACTTTATTAGACGAAACGGAATCAATGTTTTGAGCCAGTAAAATGAATAATTATCGATATTATTATAATAATTTCCATAATTAATAATAAAATTAAACTGAGTCCCACTATAAAACCGCTTTACGATCAAAACAGTTTATGACCCACATTTAATCACTAAAGAAAATCTAAAAGTTGTAAACGTTATTAATTAATTATTAATGAGAACTAATTAAAATATTACTAACGGGCGGAGTTTTATTGATTTCCTCGCGTTTTATTGGCCGAGTCATATTCTAACCGTCCTGTTATTGGTCGGCTATTGTTAGAATCTGACCGAGCCATTGTTAGGCATGTGTTTAGGCATATGTTCAGAAGATCAAAGAGATGCAAATTGATTCCCTATGTTTTATCAATATCCTCTCGTAAACAAGCAGATCTCTACTCGCCTATATATAGTCGGCGGTTTAAATTTTTCATTATTCAATACGAAAATCAATTCGAGAGTTTCACCTAACACTTTATATGACAGCTACTCTTACTGCTATTGTTTCTGATACAGAGTTTGAAAAGTTTTTAATAGCAGACTCACATTCATTACACTGAATATTAAATTTGATTCAAATTAGTGTGAAAATTTGAAAAAAATTGACAAAGTTTAAGGATATATATATCCTATCACATACACGAGTCAACAACATCAACAGCATCAACAACAACATCAAGGACAACAACAACATCAACAGAGCATTCCTGATGTTTGGAACACGCGGGAGACACAGTGACACGCAAGTTTAACATCGCAGAATAGATATATCTTTTTTATTTTTTCCTTTTTTTAAATTTTTAAATATTTTAAATAATTTTTTTTATAAATTGTGAATACTCATTTTTTTGGTACATTTTTAAAATTTATATCAAGTTTTTTTTCAGTTACCATCCAGACTGCGAAGAGCTGATTCAACATGGATCATCTTTCAACAGCAACATTATCATCATCATCATCATCAACAACAACAACATCGTCATCATCATCAACATCGTCATCATTATCAGCACCAACATCAGGTCAGTATAAGCATTGTAACAATGACACAGTGCCAGCCAATAACAACAACAGCAGCAGCAGTTTCTGCTTTCGACTGGACAACTACTACTACAACCAAATGCCACAACAGCAACAACATCAACATCTTCAACGTTATAGTCCACATGGGGTAGCGGTGAATTTTCAACAGCAGCAACAACATCAACAACAAATGTTACATCAACAAAAAATGTTGCAACAGCAACAACGACGACAACAAAAACATCAACAACAATACCTGCCACAACGTCAACAACATCTACAACAATACCTACAACAACAACAATTCAACAACGATAACAACATTGATGAATTGAAAGTCAAACTTGAAAACGAAAACCTCTGGAACAGTTTCGCAAAAATCGGCACCGAAATGATTGTAACGAAATCCGGCCGGCGAATGTTCCCAGCCTTTAAAGTCCGACTTTCCGGTTTGAAACCAAATCTGAAATACGCGCTTCTACTCGACGTCATACCTCACGATCGATACCGATACAAATTCACAAACGGGCAATGGTCGGTTACGGATAAAACCGAATCAGTGGCGGATCTGAGCGGTTTGAGAATGTTTGTCCATGGAGACTCCCCAGCTACTGGAGAGCACTGGATGAGGCAGGTCGTTTCATTCCACAAAATGAAACTCACCAACAACGCCGGCGACCAGCAAGGACATGTAAGTTGAACTTCTCTTTCTTTTCATTTCAATAAAAATACCATCAGATCAATTGTCACTTTCTTAAATAACTTTTCGTCATTTTTTTATTTCACGATATCATTTTTATAACAATTTTCAAGCAAACAACAAAACTAATTAAATTTCGTTTGAATCCTCCAACAGATAATCCTGGCATCGCTGCACAAGTACACGCCGCGAGTGCACGTGGTACAAGTTGACGACCTGCAATGTCTGCCAACGACTCCCTTCAACACGTTCGTCTTCCATCAGACGTCGTTCATCGCCGTCACTGCATACCAGAACGAGTTGGTCACCAGGCTGAAAATCCATCACAACCCCTTCGCCAAGGGTTTCAGGGAAAACTCTGGCAGTAAGAAAAGACAACTAGAACAAGAAGAACAACAAAATGACACATCCCCTCAACAACCACAAACCCAACAACCACATCAACATCAACAACTACCTCAACATCAACAACCACATCAGCCTGAGCAACCGGAACAAGTGCCAGCAGTAATGGCACAGCGTCGACAACGTAAAATATCTGGAACGATAACATCAGAGGCGCAAGAACCGCCGGCCAAACAAAGGAGGTTAGATCCACAACAACAAAACGAACAAGGAGACATTATACAACGACCACAAAATGTACAACAACATCAAAACCAGCCACAAATAAACTGCTTTCAAACAAATCATCGGCCGCTAATAACATCAACACCGATTAACAACAACAACAACAACAAACGTTCTTTAAGCAGCACAAATAGTTTTAGTGATAGCATCAACAACAACAGTAACATTGTCATCAACAACATCAACAACAACATCAACTTCAATAACGACAACATCAACTTCAGCAACGACAGCAATTTTGACAGCATCAAATTCAACGTCAACAATTTCAGCAACAACAATTTCAACAACCACATCTGCAACAATTCACCGATAGACCAGCCAGCCATCCAACAAACATCATTCAGCAACAACTTGAACAACGCACCATCAGCAGCCTCATCCTCACAACTCGCTATGAACAGTGGCGACAGTGGCTACCACACATATTCATTCAACGCACCACAAAGCGGTTGGACGCCGAAAATGATGAACCACTACAAACATTTCAAACCACCGTATTACCGATGCCAACAATCGAATCCAGCAAGTTCAACATCCTTCGGTAACAACACGCATCTATCTCCGTATGATTACTCGTCGCTTAACTCACCGATGACGAATTATTCACCGTACAACAACTATGCAACAAACTCGATGCATCCGAATGATTCGATGCTTCGACAAAGGTTATCGTTTGCAGATACAAATGATCCATCTCTTCAGCCGGTACCTTCAATGAACACATGGCCGTATTCCAACTACCAACAATTTTACAACAACGACAACAGCACCGACGACAGCATGAGAAGCAGCAACAGTTACTACTCGGCAAGCCATCACCGATCAAGAAACATGTTAACACAGCAATTCTCACCGCAGGACAACTACTTCAACGATCCTACCACATATCGACACAAACCCTGACCGAGTTGAAAAACCGATCGAATATTATTTTAAAATGAATTTTGCATAATTTTTAAATTGTATACAGCTTTCAATTGTACAGTAACAACATCAATTGTGCATATGCGTGTGTAGAATCTTTCAACGGTACATTTGCAAATAATTTATTTTTTCATATTACTTTTTGGTTTTTAATAAAAAATTTTGATTTAAATGAAAGCTTTCGAGTTTTACTCCATTCATTCGTCTCATGAAAATAAGTTATAACTCACAAAACAGGTCGATACAAACTGATAATATCCTATGAGTCAAAGACGAAACAAATTACAATTCAATAATTAAAAATAAACCGTTAATAAAAAAAACATACATACATACACACATACATTTGTACGTACAACCATGTACAATTGTTTATAAGTATGTGTGTGTGTGTGTGTATGTGTGTGTGTGTGTGTGTGTATGTGTAGGTAGGTAGGTAGGTGGGTGGGTATGTAAAAGATTGAACAGGCGTCATGCAGAAGTAAAACAATTACAAACTACTAAGTACCGTTACATTAAATTTGCAATACAAAAAATCAAACAAGTGAGAAAATATGATGAAAGAGAGAGAGAGAGAGAGGAGAGAGAACGAAAAAAGTGTGTGCGTGTGTGTGTGTGAATAAAAGTGAGAGGCAAACAAAAACCATTGTTATGCAAATAATATGTATCGGAATGAAGACAATGTATATGCTTGTGTTTGTATAAATATATACATATATATTGTTGAACTCCAAACATATACATATATAAGTGTGTGTGTTATGTACCATGTATGTGTGTGTGTGCGTGCGTGCGTGTGTGTGTGCGTGCTCCAAAGATGAAAGAGATGGTGATTTGTTTAATAATGTGAACAAAGTGCTGCAGAACTGGTCGTCATGACGATGATAATGGTAATAATCATCATCATCACCATCATCATCACCATCATCATCCCAATCACCATTATCATCACACATCCATCATTATCACAATCATCATCATCACAATCATCATCATCACCATCATCATCATCACAATCATCATCACCATCATTATCAAGACTCGGACGAGGAGGAAATGGTTCTGTTCTTGTGTGTGTGGTGGCTGGAGCAAGCCCCATACAGAACGATGACGACAACGAATGACGCCAGGAAGAAGCTCGTTCTGAATAGGTGCTGTCTGGTCTCATGGTCTATGACCTGGTGCAATGTGATTGGTCCATCCAGTTATTCATTCATTCATTGGTTGGTTGGTTGGTTCATCCGTTGATTGATTGATTGAGATTGATTGGTTAAATTATTGATTGATTGATTGATTGATTGATTGATTGAAATAATGTATTAATAACTGACTGACTGGCAGTTTGAATTTTCGACCGAGTAAATCGATGGAATGACTAAATGTACGAGTGATGGATAAATAACTGATTGACTGGTTGATTGAGAAAATGATGGATAAACCGATCAATGAGCTAAACAAACATTTGCAGGAAGTTTGAGAAGAAAGAGATTGAAGTCAGCTCTGATGGTGGGACGATTCCTACAATAAAATATCGTATCAATGCCAATCATCTGCCAGTTCAAACTGCCGTAGTACACTCTACTACTGCTACTACTACTACTTCTACTGTTACCACCGCTACTACTGCTGCTGCTACTTTTAATATTACTACTACTCTTCCTGCTTTTGATACGGTTTTGTTTTTTGTTGATTGGTGGGTTGTTGCGAGTGAGTTCGTCTGCTAACATGCCTGCAACTGACAGCTGGTTCACCGGGCAGTGTTGTAAATGTCTGCATGTTGATTGGTTGGTTGATTGGATGGTTTGGTTAGTTGATTAGTTAATCAATCGATCAATCAACCAACCAATCAGCAATTTACTTATTTTCTGGAAAAATATTCCTAGGTGCTTTGAACTGTACACAGCCGACGACGTTCTCAACGATTGGACAGCCTGAAGACAACTTGCCCTGGTTACAGAGTGAGGCATTTGATTGGCTCTTGTACAATAAGGTCACATTAATTATGGCTTGTGAGTCGTCCCCTTGAATAAATTATGTTAATTATGCTAATTATCTTAATTTTCAGCGCCAGTGACTGACAACCCAACGTGATGGTATGTTGTAATGATGTAATAAATTAACAGATAAACATCGTTCCAGTGCAATATGTTCTTCAGACTAATGAAAATATAACAAAAATGATAAGAATAAAAATAATCACCACACCGAATCGTAATAGAAACATAAAAAAAAACCTACAAACCTTCCAGTCCGATGTGCTTGCCGGACATGAGGGTGCTCAAGTGGAGTATGGATGAATTCCAGGCCAGCAGCTCCTGCGTGGGACGTATGGAGAGGGATATCGGGATCGAGTGCGTTCTGTGGCCAGTCGGTGGTGAATCGCCCATCAATTATAATAACATTACCTTATTATAGTTATATATTATCGTATTATTGTTGATTATATTGTTATAATTTATTATGGAAAATCTGTATTTACGAATAAAATTAAATTAAAAACGACTTTAAGAAACTATAAACTCGTATTTTGTGAGAGAATTGAACTGCGACTTCTTGCTGCTGATGTCGTTGCTGTCGGGAGTGGCGGCGACGGTGGTGTTGGATAGGGCTACAATGCAGAGCTCCAACTTTGAGAAACTTTCTAGAAACGACCTCCACTCCTGGACGATGAGAATGATGATAAACGTGATGACGATGATGAACGTGATGATGATGACGATGATGAACGTGATGACGATGATGATGATGAACGTGATGACGATGAACGTGATGACGATGACGATGATGAACGTGATGATGATGACGACGACGATGGATATGTATAGGAGCAAACAGACCTACTTCAATTTACAACATCCCCAAATGCTGCCAAGTATAATAATGCAACAAATAATGGATGTATACATGAATGAATGAATGAATGGGTGAATGAATGGGTGAATGAATGAATAGGTGAATGAATCTACAACTAATTGACTGGATGAATGGGTTATATAATTTGTTAATTGAACTAACAAACACACACACAAAAATGCTTTGAATTAATTAAGAAGAAACCAGCAAACCTCAGTCGAGTCGACATGATCGGACACCTTAACGTAGAAACCAATGGACGTCAGGAGGACAGCAAAGAGCGCAATGTTGATCATGAATAGGATGGCAGGTGGGTACATCTGACAAAAACTTACCAAGTTCACACTCGACTGCATCAGCAAGGATTTTAGGCTGAGAATTATGCTTGTCATCTGGATTTAATATGGAATGTGTGTTCATTTAACAACTTTGAAAGAAACTTAGAAAAATTTATATATTTTTTCTTAAACTAGATTTATATAACTGTGAGAAAAAATTGTAAATAAAACACTTTAAAATAAAAATCTTAAAAATTCTGAAAACTTAATAAAAAAAAAAGAAAAAAAATTTGCCATTTCAGCAAAAGCCATGACAATCTTCTGTAGAATGAGTCGAAGAAGTCTGAGTAGATGTGCCAGGGTAAAAAAATTCATGACACTGTGAAAACAGAAGAAAGTGCTACTGCTACTAAGTGACCTGCTGATGCTCCGTTTACTGGCCCCAATGTAATGAATTTCATAATTTGACGATGTTTCTTCTGCTACTGACGTTAGTGAAGAAGGTAATGCTGGTGATGATGTTTCAATGCTTGTCAGCCTGTCTTTGTTTCAAAAGTGCAAAATTTAATAATCTATGAGTTCCATATGATATGATTAATTAATTATTAACATTAATTAATTAATTAATAACACCAATATGTTAAAAATTTAACATCATTATTACTATTAGCAAGCAGGTCTCACTGCTTAAAAATTAATTAAAAGTAAAGTCAGTGACCAGATCATTCTACACTGCAAATAAATATTGTTTATAAAGGAAAGCCTTAGTTACTTAGCTACTTAGTTGGTACTTACTTATATTCATTTGTTGAAAAAAATTTAATCTAAATAATTTTCTAATTTAAAAGTATAATTTAAAATTTAAATTTAAAAAACTACAGGAGGTAGGTTTTTTTAAAAACTATCAATTATCAACATTAATCAAAGCGATAAAGTTGACAAATAAACTTTATTGCATAATAATTTCGTAAACGTTTTGAATTTCGTCGTATAATTAAATATTTCTGTGGACATTTTTAAGATTTTGAAGTGTTTTTTAACGAAAATTTAACTTATAAATAAGTCAACTTTTTACCTTGCATATTTTAAAAGTGCATTCGATCAAAACTAGAAGTCGCAATAAAAAATTAAATTTTTGAAAACCTGTCGAACAAAATAAAATTCTCTCGTATTATTCAAAAATTTATTTTAAATTAACAAAATATTTATTATTAAAGTATGCGCTAATAAAATTTTATTTTAATTATCAAAAAAATAAATATTTAAATTACCTTTTACATAATTGTCTGACAGTTACCTTAGTTATGTTGAATTTCTGTTCTGATTTTAAATTTCTTTATGTCTAAACCATGATGTTTTCATGTTTACCTATAAGACGTTAGTTAGAGTATATTTTTATTCAATTGTATTTCATCTTGTATGCTTAAATTTTCCAATTTCAGTACTTTCAGCTGCAATTTTGATGGTAAATTTTACCAATGGACAAAGCATATGTAAGTAATTCGATAACTAAAATAAATGTAAATTCAGAACCAAATTGTGAAATAAAACAACGTTCATTCATACAGCAATAGTCTGTGGTAGGTCGAAATATATTCACATCATACATTCAGCATATTATTCAGCCTTATGGCAGGTCCTCTCATTATCTTCCTGTCCTAAAGCTGAAAAGGTAATTTCAAAGTTAAACTCCGAATGCAATGGATACCACGAATGTAGCTACGCTCAATCCGATTTGATACTCTCTGAAGATTCCGAATGTGTCGAAGCCGGTTTCATCGGGTTTAACTACAGTTGCGAGTCGAATTTAAGTCTGTTTTAATTGATTTGCAGTTCTATTTATTGTCAGATTTGGCACCATTTGATTTCTGTTTGAATAACTTTTATAATAATATTATTTGTAATGTTTTATAACTTTTTTCAAATTAGAAGCTAGGGTTGTTCGTGCGGATGAGGTGATAGATGGAAGCAGACAACTGACATACAGTTGTAAAGAAAATTTCACCCTGAGATTTCATTGGATGAGTAATGCCACTACTCTCAAGTGTCAGAAATATCTTCCATTCTTCAAAAATATCGTTCAAAACTGTTTCGGCAAACGTAAATGCATCATAAACTTGAATTTGCGTGGAACGTCGCAGTTCAATTCTTGTTTAGACTCAAAAAAGGGTAATAATTCTTTATATTTTTTATGTTACCACGAAAATTTTGAAGACGTTTTAATGCTTCACTTGCCGTACATTGAAGGAATGTCATGTAAAAATTACAAATACAAGATAAAGTTTGATCCGTTTGAGAGCGTTTACAACGAAATTCAAGTTTGGGACCGCTTGACGAGCTGTCCATTCATATTACAACGCTTGGAATATTTAAAATCAAAATGCAATTTTCAAAATTCCTGTTTCTTTTTTGATAAATTCGACGCCAGAGCCACTGAAACATGTTTAGAAGAGGCTCACAGTGCTTTCTATCACTACCTAGGCCATGTCAGATGCGTCAGTTATGACAACGTGAGAAGGAAGCGAGAGGCAAACTTTAATGATAATCTGCAGCTAAAGTGCCCCGATGATTTGAGCATAAAAATTATTTCTATTGTTGATTACGAGAATACTGATTACGACGATGATGAAAGTGATAATAGTTGGAATTATCTTTTTGAAAAATGTCCATGCGTTCCCACGGTGTTGAATGAACTGAGAACATTATGCGACGAACAGCCATCATGTCGTATTCACAACGACATCATCGCAAGGACCGTTAGATCCTGCCCTCTCGTTAAATTGTTCATCAAATACAAATGCATCAATTCAACGATGGACACCATAAAAGCCGACGTACTCGCTTCCTTGTGGTGCCTGGACGCTCGCTACAATATCACCGTCGACGATTTGGACCTGGCCGACGCAGTAACGTACGACATCGTCTCACAGAGCAAGGTGTACTGTCCCGGCATGAACACTTTTGTAAGGAGGATCAAAATGCGTTGCAATTCACATTCGCACTGTCACATAACAACTGAAGATTACAACGACCTGATGAGTTGGTCATCGGATTGTGTGGTCAGTGCGCTTCGATTGACCGCCCTCTGCAGTAGCAGGGACGTCCGCGAGTTCCTTCCTCAGCATGGTCTCAGATGCAAACCTGGCTGGAAGATTAAAAAAATTCAAGTCCAGCTTTTGGATTTCGAGTTTAAAAAATCAGAACCATTGGACTGTATGAATGAAAAAATCGTAAAAAATATTTTGTTAAAATTATGTCTCGACAAAGAAGAGTGTGTAGTTGATTCGAAAATAATTGAAAAACTCGGCAAAGCTTGTCTTAAAATACATCATATACTAATATATTTCTACTGCCATTATTTAAAATCTCGCGATATCCACAAAGTTTCTTGTGCGAAAGGAAAACTGCTGCAAGTGAAGTTGGTGGTGAGTGGAGAGCTGACGGAGAGTGTTCTGTGCAAACGATCGAGCAGGTCGGTCTTGAAGTTGATGTCACGTTGCTGGAAGCACGAGCACTGTGAGGTTATGGAAAGTGAAATTGATCTGAAAACCGATGACTGCCTTTCAAAGCATCCATCTTTCGTAACTCTCAACTGTTTAACATCCGATCAGTTTCATGAACATGAAGTTTTAAGCAAAGAAAATGTTTGCAGACTTATAACGGTTTGTCAGAATCAGACTGAAAATAAGTCGACACCTTCAGAAACGTGCACACATTTATGTGGCGACAACGTTTTAGGATACGATTTAAAATACATGGGGTACTGGAATGACGATGGGAACTTGGAAGCCAACCTCCTCACTGACGATGTCATTTCCGTTTTGGAGAACACCCTTCTGATATCTCTCGGCAGAAAAAGTAACCCTTTAGTTTTCGTGAAAAATTTGCAGAGTGGACTTGAAGAGAGAGTGGAGTCGTTTTGCGAAGATGAAAAGTGCGATAATTATTTACTTAAGCTACCGAGACGTGAAAGAGTAATTGAGAAAGACACTTTAAACCTTTTGAAGTACAACCAAAGACATACAGTCAGTCCCATCAAACAGGTCTTGAACCTGATTCGAAGTAAGTTGAGGCTCGGTAGAAATGTTTATCAGAAACATTATCGAAACTACGAAGAGTTAGAAGAAGCCCATCAGAAACGTCTGAAGGAGATGACGCACAACCGCCACCACAACCCGGTTAGAGATTCGTCGCTGCATTGCACCGAGGCTGAAATTCTGGAAAGTTGTCAGTGCTTCTTAGGGGACAACGGACCGAAATGCAATCAGATGAACGACCCGTGTAAGAATAAGACGTGCAAAAGTTGTACAACTACTAAAGAAAGTTTCAACTGCTTTTGTCTTCCTGTCAAACACGAGTTAGTTAAGCGACGATGTTTAATTGATACTATACTACATCGTTCATATATTTCTACTGATACTAGTTTTACATGTTAATTTTTCAATTGATGAAGCTCCATCTTGCCTTACAGAAGAAGGGAATTTGATTTTGCTAACGAGATAACGTTGAAAAGAATTGGATCGTGTAAAATTTATTTTATTTTTATCATTCGAGATTACATTTTTTTGATTCCTCAACGAATATTTCACATCTCTTTAAAGCCAACGGTCGCCACACATCTATACATTTTCATTTTAAAACTCGTATTTGAAAACCTCATCGCCCAACTGCCAGTTCAATTCACCTCTCAATATACCACAGTGGAGAAAAGAGATAGTTTGAAATCTCAGCCGATGGAATGTCTGTGTCCGTTCGGATATTTCGGACTGAACTGCAACGAACGAGCAACTCTCTGCCTGGTAGATGAGTGTTTCAACGGTGGCACCTGCCTGACCATGAGCAACGAAACTTTTTGCATCTGTCCGCCCGGCACATCCGGTTCCAAATGTGAGAACCTTATCACATCCTCCTCGCACCGCCATCACAAGTGCCACAGAGACGTCTGCTTCTACGGTGGAGCTTACTGCCAGTTGGACTCTATTATTTTTTCGTTTTGTTTTTTCGATTGCACGATTAATAACATTCGCTAGATGATGTTTTGTATTTAATTACAAGCAGCCTTGAAGTATTATAAGAAATAACAATGTGACTATTTATTTTTTAAAATGACTGTAAAACTTTAGACGCTATCTTAAAGCTTCAAGATTGTGTAATATAAACAAAACTATGATCATTTTAAAGATAATAATGAAAAGTTATTTTAAAATGACATGGACGAACGAACGAACGAACGAACGAACGAACGCAGGTCTAGCAGGAACAACACGCACGAGAAGTTCAACTGCGTGTGTGCATCCGACCTGATAGGGCGGTCATGCACTGATGTTGCGCTGCAGAATGCCTGCACCAGCAACCCGTGTGCAAGGAGGGCCGTCTGCGTCCCCCTCCACGGAGGCCTCAAATATTTCTGCCTGTGCCCTGCCGAGTTTTTGAATCGTGATTGTCGTTCAACTGATGAGTTAGGTGGGAGAATGTTGTTGCGTGGTTGGAGTGCTAACAACAATGATGATGCTGCTGCTGCTGCTGCTGATAAGAAAATAGATTTGTGCAGAACTCATAACCTCTGCCAGCATGGAGCTGTTTGCAAACAGGTCAGGCAGGCAGGCAGATCAGGATTCATTTTGCTATCTTTCGATTTTTAGTTTTATTTTGTTATTTATTATTATAATTATGCCACTTAATAATCGAAATGTGTCGGTTGGAGCTGAGATTTTTGCCTGAGTCATAATTCTTTATTTTTTAACGGATCGAATTTGAATGAAACAATCAGGAAATTGTCGGGAATAAGAAAATAAAAAAAGAGTTATTTTTTATCAATTTTTAAGCTCGTGTTCTTTTTAGAAGATGTATGTGTGTGTATCAATACGCAATCATCTTTAAAACATTTAGCGATGGAATTTTAGTAAAATTATTAGGCAAAAGTTGAAATTGTTTTCTGATAGCCGGGACCTGGAGTAGTGTGGGAGTTGAAGATTTTTACTCGGAGTTGATGTGGAAAGATATTCAATCATGGAGTTAGAGACGGAACACTTTTATTATTCGCTATTAACTGATAAAATTTTAATTTTAAATTAAAATCTTATTTTTTACTGAAAAAAGTTGAACGAAACTGAGATAGAATGCAACTGCACCGTGGGTTACATAGGTAAATATTGCGAGACGACCATTCAACTACCACCCATCAACTTCGTACAAATTCAAAATGTCCCAATAGCTACTACTCATTTCAATGGTCAGTTAATTTTACATAAATTTTGTCTAATAAAATATTTATATACAATAAACGAAAACGTCTTCTAATTATTTTCTTTTCAAGGTGTGAACGCTTCGAAAGAGTTCGATGTGAGGTCGAGAATAATATCATTCGCGTTCTCCATCTTCCTGTTCCTACTGCTGACTCTTCTCTTCTCCGTCTACATCTTCAAAATGTGCTGCTTTCGAGTGCCTGTGTTAGTTGTTCTTCTGAATTGAATTAATTCATTTTACCACTGGTGTTTCTGTCGTTCGTCTCGCAGATGTTGTCGCTCGTGCCTTTTGTCGTTCGCTTTTTATATTTTTTAAAATATGGAGTAAATGCGCATTAAAAATCAATTTTAATTTGAACAACATTTTGAAATTTTATTCAAAAGTTGAATTAAAGATAAGAAATTAACTTTGGTGAATGCATCTTGTCAGGATGGAGATGGATTACGTTGTGATTCCGGAAGAGATATTTAACTACAAGTGTCCATCACCGAACGAGCTGATGCTCTACTGCCCGTCATCTTCATCTCTTTCAACTGATGCGACTTTGACAGATGCCTCAGCACAGAACATCCATCTGCTAGAACTCGATCAGCAATCAAGTGAACATCAACGAAAGACATCTCTCCCGGAAGCGTCAAGATCGGAAGCTGTAACATCCTCACCGACATCTCCAAAGTCTCGACCCGCTAATACCAAGCCAGCGTCGCCTGACCTGGAAAAAACTGAACAATCTCTCGACACAGTTACTTCATCTTTCTTGACATTCTCAAACAGGCCATCATCACAACCGCACCGACAGACGTCTTCCTATTCCCCAACACCGCAAACTCCAGTTTCAGGGCCATTACGTGCAAACAACGATGCGTCCGCAAAATCGAAACCCATCAACTTCCAAAAAACGAAACCAACTGAAATGAGTGATGGTAGCAGAGTTTTAAAAAGTTCCGTCAGTCACGTCAAACCATCAGCAACACTAAGAGGCATGGACGCGATCAAAAGAGAAGAAATCGAAGAAATTCAAGGAAAAATGGTAGAGGACGACGATTACTTGAACATGTCCTCTCTGGAATGTGATCAGCAGTGCCAGTCAGACACAACACTCAACGCTGACGAGTGCAGCCAGCTGACTGACGACTCAGAAACACAGGAAGATAGAATGCCTGCAAGCCGTCCCAACATTCCTCGCCATGTTAGGATCGTATTGAATCCAAATGAAACTGTTTTCCAATGGAAGGAGAAAGAAAATAAAATGAAAATTCTTAAAAAGAAATTTGGATCAAACGATGATTATGAATGTGTCGATGTGGTTCCTGTTTCAGATAGTGACTACTGCACGTATGCCAGGTTCATTTAACTTTCCATTTGTTATTTGAATATATCATATTATAAATAAATTGAATGTTTTTACTTACGTAGGCCGGTACATTCAGTTGAAAAACTGAATAATTCCCAGCAGTATTTTGACTGTGCTAACGAGAGAGAAGAACCAAGTTGCAGTCTGATGGAGGCGGCGAATGAAACCGACCCCCCTCTGTCCCGTCACGAGTCCCGACGTTATGAGGTCACCCACAGCGAACGTCACTACCACGAACACTACGTAGTTGACGACGACGACAGCGATGATGTTCTCAATTTCTTCTACAACGCGCCTGATGCTTTCTCGAAAGGCGACATTCAACTGAAAAGTAGCACCTCATCGAAGAAGTACAACATTAACGGGGGCAACAAGATGGCCTGCTACACCTCAAAGCAGCAGTTGCAACAATTTTTAAAACACTCAGCATTGGTGAACCCTCGAGATCTGAATGAGAGAGGCGATATAAGGTTGCAAGTGCCGCAGATCAAAAACAAACGTGTTGGCGATCAAACGTTCGAAACATCGAGAGTCGGGAACATTCTTCTTGGAGACGAGAATAATCTGGAAAGTGAAGACAAACGACTTATCAACGAGAACTATAATGAATTGTTTTTCAGAGCTACCAACACAGAACATGGTCAAATTATTAATGAAATTGAAAGCAGTGCAGACGGCGGTGTTGAGGATTTTAAGAAGAAACATGTTGCAGAGGAGTTGGCAGATGTTGATGGAGGTAAAAGGAACGTAAACAATAAAGAAGATAAAGACGAGAAAGTTGACGATGCTGGCTGCAACATTCCTTTAACAACACACGATAGCAACTGTAGCTACGCTCGAGTTGAAGTTGATGATGATGAAGCTGATGATGATGGAAAATTAATAATTAGCACAATGAAAGACAGCCATGTTAACAGAAATGATGGCAACAGTGATGATGCAACAAAGAATGATGCCAATAAGTTTGATGTCCATGTCAACGAAACCGATTTTTCTCGGGAAGACGAAGAAAATAATTTGAATGAACGAGATTCGGTAAGCCAGTCGCGTTTTATAACGCCGAGTCCAGTGAAAACTTTGCAAAACGAAATCAAAACCATCGAGGTCTGGTCGCAAGAGAGAGGAGCGGACGAATGGAACGAATACGACAAGAAGATCATATTCTCGCCAACTTGCAACAACCAGCAGTGCAGGTTCGACAGCAAAACACTTCTGAGCAAACTTAGGGTGGCTAGTAAAGCCAGTGTTGACAATTTCGTCGATAATAAAGTTAAAGTTGAGTTGAGCAAGGTGAAAAGTATGATGCTATCTTCTGGAAGCGCGAAGAATAAAAAGAACAAGAATGGCAACCAGGCAGTTTTAGAAGAAGGAAAGGAATTAAAAGGTTTTAATTTCTTTTTCTTTACTACACTACTCCCACTCTGATAACATCTGTAGAGCTGTTTCTGCTCTGTTACATTGTAGATATATTTTCAATGTACTTCATTTTAAATCACCTTGCAGCAGGGTTAAGGGGGCACATGCATATGATATGAATACACGTTCAAATCGTTCACTCGATCGTTGATCGTTTGTACTGTTTGGTGCTAACAAGCAAACAAATCGCTGCGTTGTTTTTTTAACGATGTAATCTCCGATTTAAAGCGTCTACCACCACAAACTCGCCACTCTGATATTTGTATAAAAAATACTTTCAGGATCTACAAGCTCGAAGAATGTAAACTCAATGTTCCAAGCTGGACCTAACGGGGAGAGGGATGGAAGCACTAGAACGAACGTCAACGAGTTAAACGAGAAGGAAACAAATAAAAACGATAGAGATAAATACAAAAACATGGCAAAATTGTTGAAAGAATTGATGAAAATTGATCCCCAGTTTATGAATTCAGCTCTGAAAAACAACAAAGACTACCAGACCATCATGTCTTCGGGACTCACACTGGAAGGTCAGATAAGGAAATCCGAAATTGAGGATGTCTTCGATGGTGTCAGTAACATTTCGACGCGGTCATCGTCGTCATCTAGCGAATTCACCGCACCGCCCACAAAAATTTGTTCGCCATCTTCAATCATGCATTCATATTTGAGGAGAACTACGCTGGCACCTGCTGATTTTGAACGTAGGAATCAAAGTCAGGTTTTTGACTGCCAGCTTTTGCAACATCATCAGCAACAACAGCCGTTACAACAACAGCATCGTCAACAACAACATCAGCAACAACAACAACATCAGCAGCAGCAGCAACAACAACAACATCAACAGTTTCAAAAATTTTCTTTGCAACACATTCAACATATTAAAAACTCCTCTGCTCACGAATCGTCATCATCGTTACTGCCTGCAAAAATATCGACTCCTGCAATTTTCCTCACTTCCTCTGCTGGTAGAAGCTCGGCTGTTGATGGGGCAACAAAAACTTATACTGGTAGGGGACAAGTTAAAGTTAAGTCTGATAATGATTTGCACAAATGTTTAGTTGCACAACATCATTTGCTGGCCTCACAGCACCGAGGTTTCTCACAACAATATCAACATAAACATCTGCAAAATTATCAACAACATCCACAGCAGGCCACACAAATAGTTAAGGACGTGTCGTTTAACCACAAAATATCATCAAACGTATCCACAAGGTTGATGAAACATTCAAAAAATACTTCAAACTCATCAGAAAGTCGCTTAGTTCATAAAGCTGACAAATCTGGTCACATTTTATCAAATTCAGCAGCAACAAACTTAACGAATCCTTCTCTGGACAGTGATGAGGAGCCAGAACTGATTGATTTGTTCGTTAATGATGAAGACGATGATTATCAAGAAGACGAAGATGATGATGATCTGGAGAAGGAAGAAGATGATGAATATGAAAATGTTGGAGATGCCACATATTACATTGACGAACGTGGAAGCGTTTTTAATAACTCTTCCAACAATAGTTGTCCTGATGAGACCGATGAATATAAAGAGCTGATGAGTGAGGAAATATCAGAAATAAACAATGTCAACTGCCAACCAAAATCATACACGTTTTCAGCAACAAATTTTATAACAACAACAATATCAATTGCTGCAGCTGCAACAGCACCACCACAACCAACAACAACAGCAGCAGTATTTTCTGACTCAAGAAATGATTCTTTGAAATTTGGTCACACGTCTTCATCAAAAGAACATTCTAGGAACATCACTAAAACCCAGCAACATGTTGGTGCTCTATCTCCTTCTCATTACACGGACGCACAAAGAACAATGAACGCTAACAGCAACTCAAATACTACTGCCCACAAGTTCAACTATTCGAAACTTACTGTGAAAAACTCAAATATTAATAATTATAAAAAGGATTTGAAATTATTTTCAAAACTGCCTAACTTGGAAATTTTAAAGAAAATCGGTGAAAATAATTCAAATGCTGTTGAATATGTTGTTTCAATCCCAAAACTTGCTCCACCAGATAAGAATTTATGCGTTAGTAAGCAAAATAGTTGCCCAGAAGGTGTCTTGATTGATGTAAAATGGAATCATGGATTAAATGATTATCATTATGAGCAGGAATTAACAAACGAAAGAGATCCAGAAATCTCGTTTGAAATTCTGCAGAAAAACTTCGGAGTGACGTCAAACTGGTTCGAGAAGCGATGGAAAAGTTCTGAAAATAGCTGCAAAACGAGTAGACCTGGAAATTTTCATGAGAATTCAATTTCAAGAAAATTTTGATGTGAACATTTGTGTATAGAACGATGTTTAGTTAACTTATTTGTTTTTTGCTTGTTCGTGTTTTTTCGTTAAGCTTGTTCATTTTTCCGTGAAATGGCTGATTTGTCTTTTGTTTGATTATGGTTATGAAGCGCTGCAATATTTTTTGGGATCTAGGATTTCAGTTTTAGTCGTTTGATTTGTCTTTTTTCTAGATAAAACATCTCCAGTAAAAAAATGGTTAAAACACTTTTTATAATTCGCTTCATTATTTATGTTTTTGTGTCAATAAGATTTGTTCAAATTAATCTAAAGATCGTGTTTTTTATTAAACCACGCAGCCCTTTGTTCGAGTCACGTTCACGCCTGAGCGATAATAAAATGTTATTCGTGCTCGCATTTTTTTTATTTTTCATTTATGATTGATTAAATTTGATTTAACTACCCGGTTAAATGTGTTTTAAACCATGTTTTATAATTTTTAAAAATTGAATAAAAAAACAATGTTTATTCTTGAATGTTTGACAGCAAGCCCCAATAATTTTGTTGAAAGAGGGAACTGACACTTCCCAGGGGAAACCTCAACTGATCAGCAACATAAATGCATGTCAGGCGATTGTTGATGCTGTTAGGACAACTCTTGGACCCAGAGGAATGGACAAGCTCATTGTAGATAACCATGGTAGTTTTGATTGATGACTCTGCAATTTTTAAATCAGTATAAAATAAATCTATAAATAAATAAAAGTGTGTATATATATAGATATATTTAGATATCTGTTAGATTTATACTTGTCCTGGTTATGACATTAAACTGACCCTCACTGCCTTGTGAGTGATGTTGGATCATCAAAGGCTAGGCCCACTGCCTAGCTGTGGTTATAACTGTGGTTGCGTAAGGAAGAGCGTCCTGCGTAAAAATTAGCCAAATAAATTACTTATGATAGAATGGCGTCGAGGGGTATTTCGGTTTCATCATAGGTAGCCTAACGGCAACCCGATCTCGGGGAAAATGTCGTCTAAACGTGTGTTATTGTTGTTGTTGTTAGATTTATACTACAGTAACATTTTTTCACAACATTTCTTTTTAATATTTAAAAGGCAAAGCCACTATTTCAAACGATGGGGCCACAATAATGAAGTTGTTGGATGTAATTCACCCAGCAGCTCAGACACTTGTAGAAATTGCAAAGTCTCAGGATGCTGAGGTTCCTATTTTGATTTTTTATAAGTTTGTTTATTTAGCTAAATTGGCATTGGCAACATTAATAACTACGCCAAAAAATCTAACCTACATAGGTAGGTGATGGAACCACCAGTGTAGTTCTGTTAGCTGGAGAGTTTCTGAAATTGAGCAAGTCATTTGTGGAGGAGGGGGTCCACCCACAGATCATCATCAGGGCATTCAGGAGGGCCTCGTTACTTGTCAGTTGTTTTTTCATATTATTCTTTGTTCTTGGCACTATTGTTCATTATTATTTTACTTTTAATCATTTTTTCTCATGCTGAAGATTTTATATTGCTATTGTAACAATTTAACATATCTTAGTATTTAGGAGAAGGAATCAAATACGATTAATGGCAATAATGCTATTTACATTCCAGGCTTGTCAGAAAATTAAAGACATTGCAGTTCACATCAAAGACTCAGATAGCAAGTAAATGTTTTGATATAATAATAATAAATTATCAAAGATAACATCTCACACAACATCACATCAACAATGTTAGAAACCACAGACAACTGTTGAAGAGGTGTGCCTCAACAGCACTCAGCTCGAAACTCGTTGCTCACCAAAAAGATTTCTTTGCCAACATGGTCGTTGATGCTGTTATGTCATTGGATGAACTACTTTCCCTTGATATGATTGGCATCAAGAAGGTGACTGGCGGTGCACTTGAGGTCAGTCACTTTATTATCAATGTCTTTTTTCAAGCACTTTCTTCTCTTTCTATACTTTTTGTTCTTTTTTTCATTTTTAATGCATTAATACCCACAGGACTCTCAGCTGATAGAAGGTGTCGCCTTCAAGAAGACATTCAGTTATGCAGGTTTTGAGATGCAGCCCAAGAAGTATGTCAAGCCAAAAATTGCTCTCCTCAACATCGAGTTGGAACTGAAGGCTGAGAAGGATAACGCTGAAGTCAGAGTTGAGTCTGTCGAGGTTGGTTGTTTGGTTGGATGAGCAAATAAATGAACAAATGATGAGTTGAATGAACAAGAGATGCTATGAATGAATAAAGGAATGAACAGCTGAAGGAATGAACTAATAAACAACAGGAGTACCAGGCAGTCGTTGATGCAGAATGGAGCATCTTGTATGACAAACTTGAGAAGTTGTACATGTCAGGAGCAAAAGTTGTTCTGTCAAAGTTGCCCATTGGTGATGTAGCTACTCAGTATTTTGCTGACCGGTGAGAAGGATGATATGATAATGATGACAATTCCTAATGACCACATGACATCATCATCATTATTGGCAGAGACATGTTTTGTGCTGGTCGTGTAACGGAGGAGGATTTGAAAAGAACCATGCAAGCCTGTGGTGGCTCCATTCAATCTACTGTCTCATCACTCACTGAAGAAGTTCTAGGGATGTGTGAGCTCTTTGAAGAAAGACAAGTTGGAGGAGATCGGTTGATCATTTAATAAAATTTATCAGTCAATCAATCAATCAACTTACTTGCTAATTTTAAAATAGATTTAATTATGCTCACATGAATTTTTTACTCACACTTAGTTACAATCTGTTTACTGGTTGTCCAAAAGCCAGAACATGCACCCTGATTTTGAGAGGAGGAGCAGAACAATTCATTGAGGAGACTGAAAGAAGTCTGCACGATGCCATCATGATTGTCAGGAGAACCATCAAAAATGATGCCGTTGTGGCAGGTTGTCTGATTCTAACTACAACTTAACATATACCTGGATGGGCATTTGTGTGAATTCATTCATATTTCACTGATACATACAATACACAAACTTGCACACATATATACGTACACATACACATGTATGCATGAGTGTATCTATGTACATCTACAAACAGGTGGTGGTGCCATTGAGATGGAACTCAGTAAATATCTTCGTGATTACTCCAGAAGTGTACCAGGTCAATAATTATCTGGTTTTTGTTTTTGAGCATTGTTATCAAGAAATCACTTCTTCATTGATTACTATTTCTACAGATATGAATGTTTGTTTGATGGCCATTGTTTATTATAAGATTTGTTTATGTTTTTTAATTAATGAAATATGGGTTTGCAATTTTTTGTTCGTGACATTAACATTCATAAAATGGCGATCAAACATTCAAAATTTACAAATCTGATAGATTGACATAATTTAATTTAAACTGCCTATTCTTTTCTAGGCAAGGAACAACTTTTGATCAATTGCATGGCGAAGGCTCTTGAAGTAATACCAAGACAGCTGTGTGACAATGCAGGGTTCGACGCCACCAACGTACTCAACAAGCTGAGACAGAAGCATGCACAGGGTACTAAACTACCTGCCTACCTTTTTGTCATCAACTTTCTTTGCAAATAAAATTTCATCACCCTCTTCCATGCATACTTATTAACGATTACCTTCCACTTTAAATAATTCTTAGGTGGCAAGTGGTACGGCGTGGACATTAACAGCGAAGGTATAACAGACAATTTTGAAGCTTGTGTATGGGAGCCAGCAGTTGTCAAGATCAATGCACTGACTGCTGCCTCCGAGGCTGCCTGCCTAATCCTATCAGTCGATGAAACTATCAAGAATCCTAAATCAACTGTAGAGGACGCATCAGGGGGTCAAGGGATGGGCGGAGGAAGACCATTTTAAATAAATATTGATGTGTATTTATTTAATGACATGCATTACGTATTTATTCTGTTTGTCAGTGGGTCGAAATTTTAAGGATTTGCTACCGTTTGTTTTTATCTGTTAAAAATATTTAAAGATAAATTATCAAAATTACGATATATAATTACAATGCTAGCAATTTGTCTGTTTTGTCCGTCATGCTATCTCAATTTTTTTATAGACGTTTGCTTTTACGACTAGGTCACTTATCTGATGCAGCAATAAAATTCTGCTGTGTTGTTTCATAACGTGTAGAGTGCGAAGTGATTTTCCGTTTATCGCGTCAGTTGAACGTTTTTATCCGGTGCTCTACTGTTACATTCGTTTTTTTTTTGTTTGAACTATCACATTGAAGAGATGTGTTCAAAACGTTCGCTTGAAGTATCAGTTCAGAGAAAGACGAACGTTGAACGTAAGTTGATAATTATTAAGTGATGATTCTCATAAATAATATGATGATAAAGTGTTCATTTACAGGTTAGAAAGTAAGAATGCTACTGTTCACAGCATGCGATAAAAAATTATGATCGCGGGCGAGGAGGTCCCTCTGAACCGATTGTCATATTAGTAATCCAGGTACTTACTCTTCACGCTGCAAAATTGGCTTTGTAGTGCTCTGAAATCGAAATTTTATTTTAAAGATTGGTTAATGCTTGGGCAACGAATTCTCGTAATTAGCAATGTAAAAATTGACAGTTACGAAAAAGTAGAAGAATCTAGGTAACAAAACATAATCAACAATTACTTATAAACTCTGAGATAGGGTCATTTTCATTGGACTGTCTTAAGGAGCCAGTGATGTCTTTGCTTTCGATCATTGGGTAAAACGCTTGCACGAATTCAGGTGAGTATGGGGGCGCTATCATGTCCAATAGCTGATATGGTGTGGAAAGTGAAGATGATGATGTGATGAAGATGGAAATGTGAAGGTGGAGATTATCGATTAAATAAATTAACTTAATATGTAATGTTATTTTTAAACATTTCGCCAGCCCTCATGACTACCATTTACATGTTCCAAAACACACTTTATAAAAAGATTTGATGAATAAACTCAGCAATGAGCCAACCTCGGTAACAAAATGTCTAATCAGTGAAACATCAGTGTTGGCTCCTTTCCAGCAATCATGAATGAAAGAAATAACAGGCAGAACATAACCACAACTTATCAAATGTACTAATCTATCCAATATGGTCTTCTTCAAGTTCAACTGAAATAAAAATGTCGTTAGTTAAGTGTTTTGATGAAATGACTGACTGCTAAAAACATTTTATTTAAACAGTTCAGGATAAAGAATGCTAATTTTTAACAAATAAAAAAGTTTAGTAAGTGTAACGTGTTACAAAAGGTTACATGTTATCGGACCCTCAGATTAAGTATCTTTAAATTTGTCAACTGATTTATCTAAATAACGATTTTTCTACTTACTCAATAGATGAAAATCAAATAAACAAACTCTAAATATGTCGTCAATGTCGGCAAATTGGAATTCAAACAGCTGCACCAGAAGTTGAAAGATGTTTTTGTGCAGCAGTGGATGATTCGTTGCTATCTGTTATGCAAGAAAAAACAAACATTCTTCATAACCGTCTACTTTTTTGTTAATATTATCAGTATTGCTATTGTTATGCGTGTCATTTCAAAGTTATTTTCCAATAAAAATGAGTGTGTGCATTTCACCAAAAATAGGTGTTACATTTGATGGCATATTTTGTAAAATATCAATTATAATCTGCAAATGATATATTAAATTAAAAAAAGTGATGTACCCACCTCATCGAGTAATATGAGGTGCAGAGGGGTGTGTTCAGTATTCGTTAGAAAGTAACCGGGCTTCGTGAGTGTTGCATAGATCCATTTGATGATGCCCATCGATACAACCGGAGACCTGGCATCAGTATTTCATTTCTTACTGAAGTACATTGAGAATTGAAATTAATAATGTGAATAATAAATACATATTATTCGAGATAAACCCCTTATGAAAGTTAGTACGAGCGGTATACTGAAACAACGTGGCTCGGTGTTCCCAGGAGTCAGTTTAGGAGTCACTTCTTTTTTTGCTGACGTTGCTGATGTCGTTGGGAGTTTTGTAAGAGGTTTGATTTTTGAATGTTATCTTTGCAGAAGACATTCAAATTATTGCTAGTAACTTAGCTATGTCGTTCAAAGTTTGATAGATAAGTTTGACTGCTGGCTGTCCAAAGTTGGTCAATGGATGTCTTCTAATGGCCTTACACTCAACTAGAAAAAAACGCAGCTTTTGCCCCTAGAAATGTGCAACAATCATCAAGGTTAGAGTTTAATTCAATCACAATCGGTGCTCGGAAGATTGGATCTTGTGGTTCAGCTAGCAACTTGGTGTTGTCAGACTCTTTGAAAACGTTGATCACGCCGCGTCGTTGTGCTTTTGAGAATTTTTGAAAGAGCGCGACGCACAATCACAAGAATAAAAATACGAACACATCTAATAGTATCCAATTGAAATAATGAAAAGTGTGGATGTATAAATTGTATCATAGAACATAGAAGTTTTATTACTTGATGCAATGGAAGAAACTGTTGACATCAGCCAAAAGTTCTGTGTAAGCTGGTACGGAAAATGTTTATGAATGACAAAAACAACATTTATTTAATTATCTACTTATTAAGTGAACCGATTTACACGTTGTTCATTTACTATTATTTGTTTGCCGTTTAGTTGATAAGCCCACATCCGCACATTAAGTTATCTTAAAATTTACTTTTAATCTCTGAGCAAAGCATATGACCCTCCTCAAGAGATGATATTGTAGATTCTAACTCCTCCCTGTTAACGCTCCTTCTCACGCCCTACCAATATTATTTATTATTCATCGTTGTAATTATTTATTAACGTAAAACAATATTAATTGATTAATTAACTGATTAATTAATATTAATTGGTATCCATTATCAGCGGAAGCAACCTTCTTCCAGACTTCCACGACACACGATGCATAGCTCAGGATGTAGATGTACTTTGATTTGTGCTCAGGGTTAATCTGGCTCCCCGGTTTAAATAAGGCATCTAAAAAAAGATCTGTCAATTATAATGATGACAACGACGATGGCAACAATGATTGTGATGATGACGACAATTGTAATGGTAATGATTGTTATAATAATGAAGTCTTCACGAATATGAATAACGTCTGCAAATGTTATTATTATTACTGCTGGTAACAACACTACAATGAATTTATTTATTTCAAATCAACATTTTAAATTTAAAGATAACCTAAAAACTGGGGACTCCTGATTAACTCGGCAGGGGGCGGATTATTCGATGAATACCACTTGTACAGCTGACATTAACAAAAATGTTCATATATCAACCAAATGTTAATATTGATGAGCAATCAAAAACATCAATTCAGCAATCAGATGCACCAGCTAACCAATCAAAAACTTCAATCTACAAATCAGTTGCACCAACCAACCAATCAAAAATAGTCAATTTTGTCAGCCACTTGACAATTCAGCCAATCAATCAATGAAGCGCCTAACGGACCACAGTGATGTCGGCAGGGTTCAGTTCATTCCTCGACAGCATGGAAGACAGTGCCTGACACGTTTCTGGGTGTTGTGAAGCTCCACTCAATAGAAGAATAATTGGTGTCACATCCAGGCCTCTGTTTTGTTTGTGTATACATTCATTCATTTTTTCGTTTATTTACTCATTCAATCAATTGTGCATTCAATCAACCAACTAATCAATCAATCAAACCAGCAAACGAACCTAGACTTTGCAGACTTGTTAACTTCCTGACACAATCTTCGAATGTTAGCTCCCCCCTTCTGCTCCTGACTCAAAATGTTCATAACCAGTTGGCTGTAGAGGTATGTGTGCTCCCCGTGACATACCATTCTCTGTGAGGGTGTGGTCAAGATGGGATGAAATTGCTTAAAATATGAGAAGGTATTTTAAGAAACGCTCAAACATTCCAAGCCACTTTTAATAAATGTAATTCATCAACTTTTCTAACTTTACGATGACAAATTTTTGAAAAGTCATTAGCACGAGACAGCAGGAACAAGCAAGTTTATCAAAACCAAACAAACAAGAAGAATTCAAAAAGCACCAACATCTCAATAATATCACAACAAAAGCAACAAACCAACCAACATTGAACTCTGGAAGTATCTTCTCTAAGACATCCTCCCCCCCCTCAAGGAATGTGCTGATGAAAGTTCTCAGAACCCTTGAGAAGACTTCTAACTGGTGGCAGGCTGTTGATACAGAAGTTATTTCTCCTTGGTGGCCAGCATCCGATATTAACTGTTTGTGGTTGGTTGGTTTTTAGCGGTGTTTGTGATTTTGTAGCATTGAACATCGACAAAAACATCACCACATCCTCGCACTCGCCTTAATAGTGAAGTTCAGCATGAGACAGTCTGGATAGACTTCAGCAAGTTTGTAGAAGAGGTTCCTCCATGTTTGAAAGTCAATCATCTGTACCAACCAGGGTGGGGTCTGAATGGTTGGTTGGTTGGTTGATTGATCAAGTGATTGACAGACAACGTGACAACACCCACCTCTCCACTATCAGTAAATATAGAATCGGCTTTCTTAGGATCAAAATATTTGAAGATCATGTTCAATAAATGCTGCTCAACCATATCTTGCACATCTTTTATATCTATCCCTATAAATAAATTGTAATTCAAAATGTAAAATAAACAAATTATAAATAAACAAATAAAGACTTGAATAAAAATATGGAACCAGCTTGAATGAGCCACTCAGCTAGTAGATTGACCATCTGAGCAATGCCGACATAATTTGTAGACAGCAACTGCACCAACTGTTCAATCGGACCATTTGCTCGGAAATATCTGCAATCAATAACTAGTTGAACCGTCTGTTTCACTTGAAATATTTTATTAATTTGTTTAAATAATTTATTAATGTGACAAATAATTATTTTTATTTCACAACATATTAATAATTAATAACCCCCCAAAGACTTACCTGCCTATCTGAGCGCAAATATCTGACTCCATTATGTAATCTGGCGCTGTAAAGAGTTGTAAGCATTCCTGAATGATTGACTCACTCGTCGGTTTGGATTGATCTTCAGGTTCTGGAGACTATTGAAAAGTTGAAATTTAAAACTAAATATCAGTGATAATCAAATTAGTGATTAGTTATTAATTAAGCAATTAATATATAAAATTGATTAAGTAAATTGATGGTTCTAAGTTATAAAACTGCAGAAGCAACCAAAGAAATTAAAAAATTATAAAAATAAACATCCTCAGACTTGTGAAGACTATCACATCATTAACGACTATCACTAGCTAGATCAGAGAGCTATACTGACAAAACTTTTAATTTAATTAAAATTTAATTTAAATATTAAATTAAAAACCATTAAATCTAAATTCTAACTAGCAGGTAGCTAGCTAGAGCAACCTGGGTGTATTATTATCTTCTAATACAAAATGCAAAAAAAAAAGCAGAACATAAAGCAGAAAAAAAAGACAGCAACCAACAAAGAAACAAACGAACATCTTCGTGTCCTTCATGTTCAGCCCAACGGCCATCTTCTTCGTAAGGTTCTTCGTCGTCGTAATCATCGACATCCATGTCGCCATTCATTTTATCAGTTTTTTTAATTTTTCAATTATTTCTTTATATTTTATTTTAAAAAATTGTTTAACGGAATAAATTAAAAAATAGAATTTATTGGCAGAAATTTTTCAAACGTTTGATTGGAAAAAATTTGAATCGGGATGAAACGTTTATATTATCGCTTGCAAAGAACATTGTAAATCTAAGATAAGTTAGTTTTGCACAAGGGAGGCCTATTAACAACTATACAACACTTTTTTATGGATTGAAGCAGGGATATGCAAAGAATCTCAATTCTTTCAACTTTTAATTATTTTCGGTAATGTCGAATTTATTTATATATTTATTCTAGTTATATATATCAAACTGTATCTTATTGAACAAATTACTATTGTAAAAGGAATAAAGATACTTTTTTCAAAAATTTAAAAAATTCTCAATTTTATTTCATTGCGATATCGATGATGATGATGATTGTGACCTGACTAACATCAAATAAAATTTATAATAAATTATAAATTTGAACTGCGTGCGCACATATGTAGCACTGATTACTGTTGCGTTTATAAAGAATTTATACACTATATATATACAAAGCGAGCAAAATTTTAATATAAAAGCGCTTATAAATCTATGCATATTGTCTCAGCTTGGCTCGGCTTGGCTCGGCTGGCTTGGAATTGGATGTTAAGCAAGGTGTGGTCTCAAACTATTTGGAATTCTTGCAGAAAAATTTGAACTGCGTGCGCACATATGTAGTACTGATTACTGTTGCGTTTATAATGAATTTATATACTATATAGTCTATATAAAGCGAGCAAAATTTTAATATAAAAGCGCTTATAACTCTATGCATATTGGCTCAGCTTGGCTCGACTCGGCTTGGAATTGGATGTTAAGCAAGGTGTGGTCTTAAACTATTTGGAATTCTTCCAGAAAAATTTGCGTACATATGTAGCACTGATTACGACTGTTGCGTTTATAAGGAATTTATATACTATATATATAAAGCGAGTATAATTTTATTATAAAAGCGCTTATAAATCTATGCATAATGGCTCAGCTTAACTCGGCTCGGCTTGGAATCGGATGTTAAGCAAGGTGTGATCCCAAACTATTTTGAATTCTCCCCGAAAATTTTGAACTGCGGCGTACATATGTATATGTAGCACTGATTACTGTTGCAATTATAATGAATTTATATATATATATATATATATATATATATATATAAAGTAACTAGAATCCATGTATACAAATAATTAATAGATTATATGTTTATATAAAAAGCAATATAGCAGATTCAACCAGCCAATCAGAAATTTCGAAGGCGTTCGTTCGATGACGTCAATTTAATACTGTTGGCATTTTGGTTAAGACTGTATAATACTGTAGTACATACATTAAATAAGTTTTTTACTGATGTGAATGATTGAAATGATGAAAGTGTATGGTTGAAACGAGTATAAATAGGAGCTGAGAAAACGTGAAAATGAGATCAGGCATTCTGCCTCGCTTGAAGCAGTCTGCCTGATCTCATTTTATTTTTTTATTTATTTTATTATATAGAGTTATATAGAGTTTGCATGCCTGTGGTTTGTGTGATTGTATGTTGTATTTTTTTATATTTTAGGTTGGTTCTTTAGCGGTTGCTCATACATACATACATCATGTTTGTTTGTGTGGTAGTATTTTATGTTCTGTTTTACTCCTTTTTCTCTTTCTTCATGAGTCTTAAGTTAAGTTAATGAAACATAGGTAGGTGAGGTAAAAATTAATTTATTATATAGGTAGGCTAGGGCATAAGGTAATTTAGTTACATAGGTAGGTTAGGGACTTCTATTCTTTTACTCAACTTGGTGGTGTGTTTTTTGCTTTGTGTTTTTTTTATTTGTTTCACACCATACATATAACAGGTACGCGGTGGTTCCTGGTTTTAGTGGGATTTTTATTGATTGAATGTGGTGGTATGTATGGCTATATAGAGTTATATAGAGTTATATAGAGTTATATAGAGTTATATAGAGTTATATAGAGTTATATAGAGTTATATAGAGTTATATAGAGTTATATAGAGTTATATAGAGTTATATAGAGTTATATAGAGTTATATAGAGTTATATAGAGTTATATAGAGTTATATAGAGTTATATAGAGTTATATAGAGTTATATAGAGTTATATAGAGTTATATAGAGTTATATAGAGTTATATAGAGTTATATAGAGTTATATAGAGTTATATAGAGTTATATAGAGTTATATAGAGTTATATAGAGTTATATAGAGTTATATAGAGTTATATAGAGTTATATAGAGTTATATAGAGTTATATAGAGTTATATAGAGTTATATAGAGTTATATAGAGTTATATAGAGTTATATAGAGTTATATAGAGTTATATAGAGTTATATAGAGTTATATAGAGTTATATAGAGTTATATAGAGTTATATAGAGTTATATAGAGTTATATAGAGTTATATAGAGTTATATAGAGTTATATAGAGTTATATAGAGCATAAATCCTATATAGAGCATAAATCCTATATAGATACCTTTCTTTGAGGTTCTTTTCTTTGCCGACCGGTCGGCTTCTTTGCGTTTCTCTATTTTCATTTAAATTAATTAAATAAATAAGATTTTTCCATTCATTTAGGTTTATCCAGGTACATTCAGGTTCATTCATTCAGGTTGAAGCTTTCAGAGGAGTTCATCGTGGAAGATCAGAATGGTTGTGATGTCACGCTATGTTCGTTCATTCAGTGGCAAACAATGCACGCCTGGCTGGGGTTCGTTTTACGGTTTCTTTGCGGTTCCTTTTTTTGCCAGTTACAGGGTGTTGCGGCTGGCGGGTTTCACCGCGGCTCGTTTTTCTACTTTCATTTAAATAAAAATAAATAAAATTTTTTCATTTTATTTATTTCATTCAGGTTGACGTTTCCAGAGGAGTTCATCATGGAAGATGTCAGGCTACGTTCATTCATTCATTCAGTGGCAAAGACACGCCGGGCTGGGATACGTTTTATTCTTTTTTCTCTGTTTTTCTCTCTAATTTAACATTAAGAAAGAATGCATACACGCACACACATACACACACAATTACATTAAGTAACTATATAGGTAGGTTAGATAGGCATAATTTTAATTGTAGGTAGGAGAGATAGGAAGCATCCAACACTAATGTAGTTGAATAGGTAGGCGCGTAAGTTTGTCTCTTCTATTTTTTCTTGCACCAACATTACACGCATCAGCGTATTACACACACACACCCACACACACACAAATACATACATAAACACATATGTTAGTATTTGAGCGTAATTTTATTTTCATTACACATTCTAATTTATTATTACTAAGGTTGAGAGTAATTTAATTTCAAAGGTAGTTAAGGGCAATAATGTAATTCTAGGAACAATCTTGTAATGTAAATTAAAACGCTGTAAGTGTATCGATAGGTAGGCTAATATAAGTTTTACATTATTATTATTATGTTGGAGCCCAAGGCATTACGTAGGTGGTGGGGTGGGCGCCGATTGGCTAAATGAATTGGGCTCTTGAGTTTTGTAATTTTAGGTAAGCTAGGACCGTAATGTAATGAATAGGTAAGTTAAGGCTACGTTGTAACACATACTCATTAATGGATTTAGGGTTTAAGTTTTATATTATTATTACTAAGTTGGAGCCCAAGGCATTACGTAGGTGGTGGGGTGGGTGCCGATTGGCTAAATGAATTGGGCTCTTGAGTTTTGTAATTTTAGGTAAGCTAGGGCTTAATTGTAATGAATAGGTAAGTTGAGGGTACGATAGCCGATTGACTCTGGATTTCAAAGTCTCTTGTCAGAGGTAAGCCTTGGTGGCCAGTGGTGAACCGGCAATGGTTTACTATCCGGACGGCAATGGTTTACTATCTGCACGATAATGATTTACCATGCGGCATGGCCATAGTCTACTACCCGCACGGCTTCCGGACGGCAAATGGTTTACTATCCGCACGGCAATAGTCTACTATCCGCACGGCAATGGTTTACTATCCGGTGCCCTGGCTATCGGTGAACCTCTGTGCAAGGAGGGAGAATGAAGGGGGATTTTCGACTATCGTACCATTAATAATTTAATATAGATTAGTTAAGGTAATTGAATAGGTAGATAGGATTATTTTTATTAAGCAATTTGAGATGCAGGCACCGCTAAGCTTTCTGATAAGAATCTTTCCTTTATTTTTCTTCCTCAACACAGGCTGTGTTTCAACAACAATCTCGGGAGGACTGGAGGACAACGTAGGAACCGGACCGAATTCAACATTCTGCTTTTGTCGAATGGACGACGGTAAGTTTTTTTACATTTTACTCTCTTTATTATTTTAAAATATTATTTATTTGCCATTATTTTCATTCTATGATTCTATGATAATTTCTATGATGAGGTGGGCAGTGGTGGGAGTCAGCACGTTTCAGATGGTGGTTTCATGATGATTTACGTATGATGATGGTGGCGTAGGAAGAATCAGCGCGTTGGCTGTTCGACTGACACTCAGAAGGTTTAGTTTCGTTTTTTTTTATTTTTTTCATTCATTAATTTTCTCACTCAATCTTTCAAATTATTTATGCATTAATTAATTTATTCATTACATACATTCGTTGATTGATTGATTGATTGATTGGTTGATTGATTGATTGATTGATTGATTGATTGATTGATTGATTGATTGATTGATTGATTGATTGATTGATTGATTGATTGATTGATTGATTGATTGATTGATTGATTGATTGATTGATTGATTGATTGATTGATTGATTGATTGATTGATTCATTCATTCATTAACTTAATCATTCAACTAATCATTTATTTGTTAGTTCCTTCGTTCGAATATTCATTTTACTGAGCTAATAAAAAATTTTGTCTACAGAATGATGAGAGGTGGGCAGTGGTGGGCGTCAGCACGTTTCAGATGGTGGTCTCATGATGGTGGTGTAGGAAGAATCAGCTCGTTGGCTGTTCGACTGACACT